CTCTTTTTGATACAAGTTTATTCTATTTTTAATTCTTTTTGTGTTTTGAGTAAAAAGAATATTTCAAACTTTCTCATTATGATTCTGTGATATTGACTAGATCTTCATAAGATGAATCTAGTACTTTTCTCAACTTGTAGATCAATTGTTGTTCTTGTTTTGATAGTTTTATCTCATGTTCTATGATTGAATTTCTTTTTAATCTCTTTTTGTTCTTCAATGTCTTCTTAACTTTTCTAATAACTCTTCATTTTGTGATACAATACATAAATAAAACTATTAGTGATTGAAACATCAGCTTTAATTGACTCTTCAGCCATACAAATGATTATTTTATTATCAAGCTCTTGTTACTTCTTTATGAAGATAAACAAAATTCTACAACAAAGACAAAAAGAAATCAAAGAGTGTTTGTTTCCTTTCTTGTTGATAAAAATTAATTGGTATAAATTTTCTCGATCTTTAAAACTATCTTTTCATTGAATTTTTTAGAAGAATAATCATTTATGTGTTCTTAATCACAATCATTTAATTCTGTATGTGTTCCATTTGTAGGAATGTTTATTAAGATGAAGAGAGATTTTAATAAGAATTAAAGTATTTGATAATTATATACTTAATAGAATTTTATGTTTATATTTTTATTAACTTGTTTGGATAATAAATATCAATAAATTAAATATTATTAAGAGTACTCTTTCAAAGAATGATATATTAATTTGTTTAATCACTTGGTTGATGAAAAAGATCATTCTTAATTATATTTTTCATTCTTTTTACACTAATAACTTTTTTATTTCACAATATTCTTATTTATCTCATCAACATATCATTATTGTTTTATCATTTAAAATTTATTTTTAATTATTTTATCACTTAGTATATGACTACTTGTTTATCTTTCTCTCCTTTCTCTTATTCAAAGAAATATGTATTTTTATTTCTATTTCTTTGAAGAGTCATTTATTAAATATCTCTCTTTTGTTCTTTTTTAATATCTTCAACTTGTGTTTAAATAGTATATTGTTTATTTTCTTTTATTTACTTACTCTCAACACTTTATACTATTTGGAATACACATTTGATTATAATACTTAAACAACAATAGATAAATCATAATTGATAATAAAATATTATCCTCAATTTTGAAACATATCAATGTTTCATTAAATTATTATACTCATTGCTAGTATCATAATAAATGTGATTTGATATACTATTAGTTAAAAGGATATGATTATTATTGAATTGTTACTGCATTGTAATTTACTTCAAATGATTTGATATTTCAATTGTTTATATCCAATATGTAAATTTTTGAACTTCAATTCTATTGCACTGTTAAATATTTCTTTATTTTATACATAAGTTCATCTGAACATTATATTTTGTCAAGAATTCATTACTTATAAAAATGATTTCAATTAATTTATTTACTCCACAAAGTAAAACTTGTTTTTAGTATTATTCAAATTTATAATATTCATTATATACCATTTTATACAAGACTCACTCATTTGTTATATACTAAATGAAATAAACAATATTAAAATTATTATTAAGAGATAAAAATATTCTTGATGGAATCTATTTAAATACTTCTCAATTTTATAAATACTTAAACAACTTAATAATTATACTAAATGTTAATGAAACAAATAACTATTGTAAATGTGTTTCATTACTATTATTATGAAATAGTGTTTAAATGAAATGTCATTGTAGATAATAAACTAAATTATATTGAATTGTTAAAATTTATCATTTTGTTTTGTATTTTAGTTATGATATTTACATGTTGATTATAACATTATTAAGAATAATTACAGTAGAATCTATTGTTTTATAATTATTCTAGAATGAGTTTGTTTCATTTTCATTAAACCATATGTATCTATTTATTTGTTTATTCAAAGAAATTGTATTAAAACTCTATTTCATAAAATAAATAAGAAAAGTAATGTTATTCTATTTCTTGATTTTCATCATATTAAAGTTATAAATCTTCTATTTTAAATGTTATTCATTTTATTTCATTATAATTTCACCATCATTTATATATCTTTTTATCCATTCAATATTTAATGATGGTTGATATAAAATAAACATTTATTCATTTTAATAGTAAAAATAATACTTATCAATCTAGTAAATTACAAATAAATCAAAATATTATATTAACCTTA